GGAACGAAGTTCGCAGGGTCAGCTAGTATTATATATAATATTACGAAAAGGATATGAACAACAACTGAGAAATAATGTGCTTCTTCAATGCAGGAAACCAACGGACATTATAAAAACCCTTATAAGAAGTAAATGAAAACAAAGCGGTATGTAGTACAGTCAGGGAAGCAGATATTTCGGAAACGAAATACACTACACATATGATAGAAGGTCGCCTGTTGTCCTTTGTTTCCAATAGCCATATCAATGGTCGCTCAAGATGTTGAAACCTGCCAAATATTTAAGGATATCGTGGTTAACGGATTTCTCCATGATTTTTCATTTCACTGATAGCAAAGGGACTGTTCTGTTCCCGACATACAGTTATACATGTCAATTTTTGGATGTTGATTTTCAACGAAAGTTTTGTTCCTTTTTCCTAATTGGAATAAATGAAATGCATGTATACTTGATGAATATGTGTAACAAGCATGTCTCAATCAACAACAACATTTTCTCAGACTGGAGAAATGTTTTCTCCTGCTTGCAAAACATCCTATTTTTGTCAGTATAAGACAGAATTCTATTATCACTCTCTGGAAAAAGTTATCTTACAACGGTGATTTCATTCAAAACCAGTGTTCTCATATAATTAAAACCTACTTACTCTGAACATTCGAATATACTATATGCAAAATATATTATTCTTCTATCACTTTCTATGACGTAAGTTTGTTAAATAATGTGTTCTTTATCATTTACAATTTTCAAATTCATTCCGCAAACCCGAAACAACAATCAATTGTAAATAGTTTCAGTCAACATAACTATTCAGTTAATTGACGTCATGAGAAAAATATAATAAATGTTCATTGATATTTCAATTGGTCCACTTAAACAACTCATCATTGACATTCCATCCTTGATCTCCCTCGTGAATTATTATACGAATTACAGACATGATGAATATGAGAGGATGTCAGTTTGAGTGAATGAAAAAAATCCTCCATTTCAGAAACGTTTGATAGATTATGATAGATTAAAATATTCAAGGGATTTGAAAATGTCACATATGGAACCATTTCTGAGTAATTTCGTTACAGATTTCCATTGACTGACAAAATTGATGACTACATATTTGTTGTGAATTCAACAAATATGAATGATTTTGATAATTCATTTCGTTAATTTTCGTTATCTGAGCCATCTGAGCCATATTTGTCAATGTTTTTCAATTAGAACTCTTCTCTTTTCAGGCTCCTGTACCAGCAGAACCTTGGGAAGGCGTCAAGGATGGTACAAAGGAAGGATATGAGTGTCCTTCTAAGGACATGTACTTGGGATACTACATAGGAAATGAAGATAACTGCCTCAACTTGAATGTTTACACGAAAGAGGTGAGTGGACTTGTGAATTTTTGAATTCTTTTTGTTTTGCGTTACAGGAAGATCCTTACGGGCTCTTAGTGTGCGAAAGTAGCGATTCACGTTGGATTTGAATCGCTGAAGATTGAATTCAGTTGGAAAAACGTACTCATGAAGTTTATTCCACATAAACAGAGTTCCCCAAATGGAAGACTTCTTGAACAGTGTAGTTCGAGATGTACTGAGTTGAACCTCAAAAGAATGAGCAGTCACACTCCGTCGCATATTTCTGATATGTACAAAACATAAAAAGAACATTACATACATAAGAACAATACTTCAAAGAAGGTCTGACCTGAGCATTATAAAGCATCATACGTTGCATCATATGTCAACAAATCTACTAACATTCACTCATCATGTCCTCAACCATCTAGATAACAATAAACAGGTTGATGTTATTTATACAGATTTTCAAAAAGCATTCGATAAAGTTAATCATGATGTGATACTGGAAAAGTTACATAGAAAATGGCGCTGATACCCAAGCACTCAAATTGCTGGCATCGTATTTGAATAATCGACACTTCAGAGTCAAATATGAAGGTAATTGTACAGGGAAATTCCGCGCAAACTCTGGAGTTCCTCAAGGATCAAACTTGGGTCCATTACTTTTTCTTGTATTCATTAATGATCTATCTCAGAATATAAAGTACTCTGAGTGTCTCTTATTCGTAGGTGACCTTAAATTTCATAGACAGATCGAAAACTTACAAGATTGTGTTAAAGTACAAGAGGACATCAATAGTGTTTATCGATGGAGTGGGAAAAATGATCTTCCGTTCAATATATCCAAATGTGCTGTCCTGTCTTGTACCCGAAAACTAAATAAGACACTATACAATTACTTAATGAATGGTATTGAATTATCCAGGGTAGAGACTGTCAAAGATTTAGGTATATACTATAACTCCACACTCTCGTTCAAACCTGATCAGAAATATAATATCAGACGATCAACATGGATTCGTGGAACAAAAGTCATGTGTGACCAATCTTGCATGCCTTTCACAACATGTTACAGATGCTTTAGATCAANCCACATGTTTGTCTTCAAAATTGTTTTGTGGAATTTAAATAACTTCAGTAACTTCAAATAACCGATTTACAAAAAAATAAAATCAAAGCCCAGTGATATTTTTCAAAAATATAAGAAAATGAACGTTGAATATTTCGTTCATTAACATTCAAATCAGAATTGTTCTTAATATCTACAGTTCATATCCTTAATATCATTCCATTGTATCTGTGCCTCGTATAAGCATTATAAGTGTTACCCCTATTCAACATATTACTGGACTGTTGTTACGAAAATTGCCGAGACACGTCGATTTTTGATTCCTACACTGCACATTTTTGTATTAATAGTTCACCCCTAATTTCATCCCATACTGAAGGGGAGCAACCCTGTCGAAAGCATGGGGTGTTGAGTGATAGTCCATCTGAAAGGGGGGTTCATTCTCTATTCAACCGTGAAAAAAATTCAACAACAAACAGGAGGCAACTAAACTAACACTTACTTTTTCTGTTATTACAATTATCCCTAATTTCAATTTTTTGAGTTGACCCGTTCAAAAAATAAAAGAGGGGGGGGTTTATTAAAAAAGCAATGCACTGTTTTTGGATGACTGAAGGAAGGTTGCAATGACGTTGGTTTTATTTTGCATAGTGAATTATTTCAAAGATTGAAGTCGTATTTTCGTTTTGTGCTGCTTTCATGTAGATAGCTGACAGCAGGTAGACTGTTAACAGAAAAAATGCATGGGCATATATGCACTACTACCGTGTAAAGCCAGTTTGGATCGCTAGTAACACATGAAAAATTGATGTTTTCCTCACTTTAGACCACACTGCATGTGATCAGTTTCACCTTCTTTGATAAACGGAAAAATTGGTTTTATCTGTTTCAGTTACCAAGTCGTAATAATGTTAAAAAACCTGTTATGGTGTTCATTCACGGTGGAGGATTCATGTATGGATGTAATAAAAGTGCTTATTTTGGGCCACATTATTTAATGAGTGAAGACATCGTTTTAGTTGCAATCAACTACAGACTGGGTGTTTTTGGTAAGTATATAATTTTTCGTCATTCGTACATATTCACAAACGTTATGTAATGTATTGTAACGTATTGTACTTCATAGCTGAATTTGCTATTATAGTGGCTACAAAAATCAATGGAAAAAACTAGAGGTCGGTTTATTGAATGAACGTCGCATCGCAAATTGATAAAATATATGATATCATCTCATAACAAATATGAAAGGGTATTGAAAGTTCCTCTGCCTTTTTTATATTGAACGAAATGAACGCGGTAGAGCCATAAAACCAAATTTTACAATTCTAGTTTTTGGCGAATATTCAGAAAATAACCACTGATATTCTGGATCTGAAAAGATATCATTCTAGTTCTCCAAAATAGAAAGCTTATCTACCAACCTTGTAGGTCTTACCATTGCCGAGATTGTAATAGAGGGATAAACTAAAGAAAAACGGCCTGGAACTTGGAAAAATGATGAAGTGAAGTTCCACAATGTTGCATTCACATACAAAATGAGAAGAAAATCAAAAGAAGTACTTTTCTCATGAGCTGCATTATTTTTAAAATGATTGAAACCCAATTTCCAATTTTAATTTAGGAAATAGATGCATTTTCAGCCAACCTAATTTCTCATAATATACCATGTGATCATCTTCAAGAGAAAGATTAAACAGTTTGATAGCATTCCTCTTGAACACTTTAATGAAATGAATGAAAACACTTTTGTCTAATTACCACTGGTTAATTTTATTTATACGACCGGTTTCGAGTTTAACCCCATTATCAACCCCATTAAACCCAATTCAGTCGTGTTCGTCAGGATGGTTTTCAGTGATTTTTCGATGAAAGAAAATCTTTTGAAGTTCATTCCACTGAAAGGACACACTACTGGACATGAGTTGTTTTCTCATTTGAAAAATATTATTTCTTTCGAGAAAATTCCAATATCGAAAATGGTAGGCTTGACAACCGATGGCGCTCCAGCTATGG